TCACTGCCACAGAAGGCTGTGGAGGCCAGGTCATTGAGTACATTTAAGACTGAGATAGATAGGTTCTTGATTATCAAGGGGATCAAGGGTTATGGGGAGAAAGCAGGAGAATGGGGTTGAGGAACGTATCAGCCATGATTGAATGGCGGAGCAGACTTGATGGGCTGAATGGCCTAATTTCTATTCCTATATCTTATGGTCTTATGGAGATGTTGGTTTTGAATGGTATCACTGAGGGACAGTATGTATATGAGAATGATGGCGTTAGAGGCTTGGGAACTACAGAGGGAACCGTGCAGGCAGTGGAGAAGCAGCTATTCTATATGATGCTTTCACTATGTCTGGGCAGGTCAGAATATACCAAAGCAGCAAAATCCTACTTGGATAGTTTCTTCCTAAGAAACAACAAGAGTTTACCTTCTGCATAGTCAGCAAGGTCTCCTAGACATGAGATTTTGTCACTATTCCTTTCTCCAGACCAAAATGTAAAATTCCACTTGGACACTCCTTCCTCGCTCTGTAATGGGAAATTCTATTTTCACAAAGAACTGGAGAAACTCATCATTAAAGATGGTCAGAAATCGAGCCAGTGTCACCATTAGAATATAGTTTAAGCAGGAATCATTGTCTCTTTTTCCCCACCTTGCCAACAGTGGGCTATACTTCAGAAGTAGTTTGTTGGATATGAAGTGCCTGAGTTGTCATGAAGTTATGAAAGGTACTATCCAAATGCAAGTCCCTCACATCTAGGCCACTTGCTGGAACATGCAGCAGCTCTGGACTTAGATACAGAAGTTTGTAATACTAGCACGTTGATTTTGCAAGCAACTGTCTAGCCATCTACGGAGAAAGCGGGGACAAAGGGCTGTGCTATTGGACAGAGGACAGAGTACAGCCAGCAGATAACATCCGTTGAATTGTAACACATTGGTCTCGCTTGTTTTCCAATTCGGTTTAGATTTACGAAACAAATGGATGACTGAACTATCTACAATTAATCACGAGCAGTCAAGATATTATCTTTCTGACAGCGAAGGGAGCTTGCCTCTGCATTCTGTGGATCAGGTGGTAAAAGCCTGTGGCACAGAATCTATAATGACATCCGCAGCAGACAGTGAATTATAAATTCGCCATCACAGCGTGGTTAATTGTACAGTGACAGTAACAGCTCCCTTTGACATGCTGGGTGCAGCCGGGCTTTCGTGCATAATTAACACTGATTGAGATAGCAATTTGATGGTGTCGAGTCTGCTTGGAAATGCTTGTAAAACAGAACAGTTGGGCCAGAGGCACTGCCAATCTTGGGCGGCGAATGAAGGAAAGATTTCACACCCTAAATGGACCTCAATTTATTCACACAGAGTTCTTTTAAACCTCGTGCTTCCTCTTTGCTATTTCCTTTTTGCATTCCATGTGATAAAAAGACTACACTGGAACAGCAGCAGTGTCATAAAGCAGCATTGGTGGAATACATTACATCTTGTAAAGATGGAGTAGGGAAATTAGTCACTGTGGCCACGTATTATATATCTGTATGGATGTCATGTTGCAGCTCTACAGGACATTAGTTAGGCCACTTTTGGAATACTGTGTGCAATTCTGGTCTCCCTGCTCTAGGAAGGATATTGTGAAACTTGAAAGGGTTCAGAAAATATTTGCGAGGATGTTGCCCGGGTTGGAGGGTTTGAGGTCTAGGGAGAGGCTGAATAGGCTGGGGCTATTTTCCCCTGGAGCATCAGAGGCTGAGGGCTGACCTTATAGGGGTTTATAAGATCATGAGGGGCATGGATAGGGTAAATAGATAAGGTCTTTTCCCCAGGGTGGGGGGAGTCCAAAACTAGAGGGCATAAGTTTAAGGTGAGAGGGGAAAGATATAAAAGGGACCTAAGGGACAACTTTTCATGCAGAGGGTGGTGCATGTATGGAATGAGTTGCCAGAGGAAGTGGTGGAGGCTGGTACAATTACAACATTTAAAAGGCACCCGGATAGGTACATGAATAGGAAGGGTTTAGAGGGTCATGGGCTAAATGCTGGCAAACGGGACTATGGACTAGTTGGACCGAAAGGTCTGTTTCTGTGCTGTATGACTCTAGGATGTCAATGCTAGCTAGATCAGCATCAATTGCTGTTATGAGTCAACCACATTGCTGTCGGTCTGGAATCACATTTGGCCAGACCAGGTAAGGACAGCAGTTTTCTTCCCTCAAGGACATTAGTAAACCAGATGGAGTTTCATGAAAATCGACAATGGATTCATGGTCATCATCAGACTTTTAAATCCACATTTTTACTGAATTCAAATTCCACCATCTACTATGGCAGGATTCAAACCCAGGTCTCCAGAACATTACCCAAGTCTCTGGATTATTTGTCTAGTGATAACACCACTAGGCTATTGTCTTCCCTGCTCTGATTTGAAGTTTGGCTTATTAAATACAGAGTGCCGCTATGTTGAGTAATGCAGCAGACTGAATTCAACAGGGATCTGTCATTACCTTTTCTACTGCTTGCTGCATAAACAAGGAGCACAAGACATCAGCAGATTATTGACACCCAGCTCCTCACCACACGGGAACAGAAGCTCGTCACAGGAGAGTTAAACAAAACTCATTCGGCACCCTGCCCTTTCACTGGGGCAGTGAGAATCATTCACCATTCTGTGCAATACAACCATAAACTGACCCCGAGACAAGATCCTGGGCTGAACTGTTGGTAATGGCTCCTACATGGGATAATCCATCATCTCATTTAACTCTGTGACATCCTGTCACAGGCTCATGGAATGACAGCGCTACCATGCACTCATGTGAAAGTAACACCATAAATACACGCACAGCATGAGCTGATACCAGAACCCAAGGGTGAGCAGGAGAAACCACTAAAGTTGGACTGTCACAGTGTCTGCTTTCTATATAATCCATACAACCTGAATTGTCACCAGGACAAAGCCAAAAAATTCTCATAATTAACTGTGCCTAACAAAAGAGGGAAAGACTTGCATTTATGTAGTGCCTTCCACAACCTCAGTACTTCTGAAAGCATATCACAGCCAAAGGTACTTTTGAAGCGCAGTCACTTTGTACTATCGGAACCAACTTTAGCACAGCAAGATCCCACAAAGCACCGATGTAATAACGGCCAAATAACCTGCTTCACTGGTGATGACTGGGGGGATGAACGTTGGCCAGGACAACAGGGAGAAGTTCCGCCCTCTCCTTCATTTTCCTGCTTATGATACTCCACATGAACATAACCCTAAACTTTGGCCAACGAGCTATCTGACCCAACTCCTTCTTGTGGCCCACTCTCAGACTCAGTTTGTTCACATTCCTGTTGTAATTTTTCACGTTTTTCATGTGTTCTGTAATTTAGTACTTCTGTCACTGTTAGAAATGTAGGTCCCTTTAAGGTTCAAATCTGAATATCCCCAGAATTGATTGAGAGAAGGTGACTGGATGGTGTATTTACGAGTTGGGGTGTACTTTTTGAAACAAAAAAAAAATGCTGAACCAGGATGGGTATTAATGGGTCCAGGTAGCAGACCATAGATGGGGCCATAATTCCTGACTGCCTGCCTCTCTTCCACGGTTCTGTCTGTCTGTGTCTGTGTGTTCTTGGAGAGGGAGCACACAGCGTCCACTAGCACCAGGCATCTCCTTGTAACACCATGGGTGCATTAGTACCCCATCCAACACCATTCTGATTTAACCTGCTAAGTTTTCTTTATAATCTGGTTAGCGTTACAACACTCCTCGTGTGCAGTTTCATTTTTAATTTGCTTTGTAATTTATAAAGAAGGCTGGGTTCTTCCCCACTTGGCCTGTGGACAGGGAAAGGGAAATGTGGAAACTTCGGTTTGTGCTAATCTGTGGATTTACAGTAAAACCATTGTAAATCTATAAATCTTTGGTGTCTAATGTATAAATGGATATCAATCTGTTCAACTATGTCTAGATGAGATGCACGTCTGCCTGTCTGCTATGTTCTACTGTTCGTAAACTCAAGTGTGTCCCACCAAAGTCTACAACCCACTCAATTGCCAATCTGGTGCTCTCTGATCTAGTCTGACTCCCTGTCAAATTAAACCTGGATATTAAAACACTCAACCTTGTAGCCATGACTCTAATGGGTGACCAGATAGAAGCAAGAGATCCTTATTACCTTCCTTGGGCTGTCAACATAGCTGGGAGTGACGGCGACGTTTGCTCCAGAGTGCAGGGTGCTGTCAGAGGCTGGGCCAGCAACCTTCCCTGAATGGACTGCTGCCTGCTGCTCCTCAAAGCTCCTACAGGCCATTGGAAAGGAAATAAAACAGAAGGTAATGTAGCAGCAGTGATAAACTGAACCTTGCAGTTGCAATAACAGGGGATCTGAGACAGGATACGGTCCAGCATCACCAGGATCCCCTAACAAACAACAAGTGGATTGCTCGTCTCTACTCAGTTGACAATTAACCTGGTCAGACATATTATGACCCAAGTCTGGAGCAAATGGGACTTAAACCAGGGTCTTCTGATCCAGAGGTAGGGACACTACCACTGCACCACAGGAACCCAATACAGCAGTTATGAAGCAAGTATAACTGAAGGGCTCTCACTGTAATCAAGTTCTATAGTGGCTGAAGACAGCAGCTCACCACCACCTTCTCCAGGGCAATGGGCAATAAATGCTGGTCCAGCCAGCGATGCCCACATTCCATGAGTGAATCTTTAATAAAAGGGCAGCACACTAAAAGTTAGCACTGCTGCCTCACAGCACCAGGGACACGGGTTCAATTCCACCCTCAGGTGACTTGTCTGTGTGGAGTTTGCACATTCTCCCTGTGTCTGGTGGGTTTCCTCTGGGTACTCCAGTTTCCTCCAAAAGATGTGTGGGCTTGGTGGATTGGCCATGCTAAATTGCCCCATAGTGTCCAGGGATGTGTATGGTAGGTGGGTTAGCCATGAGAAATGCAGCATTACAGGGATAGGGTATGGCAGTGAGTCCGGGTGGGTTGTTCTTCAGAGAGTCAGTGTGGACTCGTTGGGCCGAATGGCCTGTTTCCGCACTGTAGGGATTCTATAAATAGGATACAAGAGAGATAGAATGAAAATCACATTCAAAAATCATCATCCAGTTGTATTACTTTGAGACCAGAGTTTTATTTACAATTTGTACTCGAGCAAAAGTCAAGTTTGAGGGGTAAAACTCAAGTCAGGTCTTTTGAAGTCAAGTGGGCAGATCATCTTTGGAATTCTTGACCCTAGAGGGCCGTGGAAGCACTGATATTAGAAATCTATCAGTCTCTGTCATGAATTTAACTACTAAAAGCATGAAGGGGCATGGGTTTAGTGCAGAAATCTGGCAGTGAGGTAGACATCAGCCATGATCCACAATGGTGGAGTAGGTTCAAGGGGCTGAATGGTCTACTCCTGCTGTTAGGTTCCTCACTGCAAACTACTCATAAAGGCACGGACACCAGTTGCTGGATGTGGTCCTGAATTCAGCAGGGTCTAGCTGTCCTGGGCTGCATTTCTAATGCTTAAATGAGTAGCAATTGTGAAAACAACTCTCTCACGAACCTTACTCCCCAAACAAGGCACATGAAAAATGAAAGATTTCAGGTGTTGACTCTTTTACAAGATCAACTATTACTGGAATTTTCATTCATTCACAGAACATGGCATGCTGGCCATTTCTTGCCCATCCCTATAGCTGCCCCTTGAGAAGGTGGTGGTGATCTGCCTCCTTGAACCACTGCTGTCCACTTGCTGTGGGTTGACCCACAATGCCCTTAGGGAGGAAATTCCAGGATTGTGACCCAGCAACAGCAAAGGAACACAGATAGATTTCCAAGTCAGGGTGGTGAGTGGCTGGGAGGGGAACTTGCAAGTGGTGCTGGTCCTAGGAACATTCTATCCTTGTCCTTCCAGAGGGAAGTGGTCATGAGTTTGGAAGCTGCTGTCTGAGGATCTTTGCTGAATTTCTGCAGAGCATCTTGTAGATAGTATACGCGCTGCTACTGAACGTTGGTGGTGGCAGTGAATATTTGGTATTACTGTATTTGTAGTATCTATAGTATGTATTTTTCAAAGATCCACAACTTGCCCAGCTCTGGAATCTCCACCAAAATGGCAGGTTCTGTTCGATATCCCAATCCTTCAGTGTAAAATAAACTCTCTCCATTTTCACCCTGCCAGTAAAACAGGGCAAAGCCCACACTTTTTCAGGTTACTTTGGTTCACATTCTGTCTGTGAAAGCGTCGGAGATTTCAATCTGTATTCCTCAGATCCAGTGGGGTCCCACAGATCAAAAAATCTTCATCGCCAACTGGGCTGTAACATGGAACTAACTGGGAGGGAACGGATTGAAAATGTTAAACAATCCAAGGGGTTAATCCAAATAAAATGTGGAATAAAAATCTCTGAGCAATTCAGAGAGAAGAGTGAATTTAGCGGATGTGTTTACTGGAGACCATGTAATGAAGCAGATCACCCTGATTGAGGTCTCAATTACAACTGAATGAAGACTGGCATTTCTGACATGCTTTCTCCTCAGTGTAAATTCAATTGGGTTAATGATTTCCACTTCACTCAAACCCCAGTCCAAACAGCAAATAAAGGGTAAAGCTCCCTTCCACGGCAAGAGCAGTGAGCTTTCTGAGGTAGGAAAGGAGCAAGGGAGGGAGTAAGGTGCCGAGGGAGAGAAGGAGAGAGGGAGGGACGAAGGAATGAAGAAAGAGAGAGAGATGGAGAGAGGAAGGGAGAGAATTATAATCTAACGGCTTCTTCAGTCACAGAGGAAATCATGATGAATGATGTGGAACTGACCGCTCAGAGCAAAGGAGGTCTCACCTCTGGTTAGCTTCCATCTCCAACAAGGCCGACAGAGCTGATGTTCCCTTCTTCCCGAGAGGCGGACCTGCTGGTTCAGTGGGATAGTTCGAAAGGGGCCCGGTCACCTGCAGTCCTTTAATGGGAGCCCCCTTCTGAAAGATGAATTGCAAAAACCACATGGATTAAACAAACCTTAAGCATCACGTTCATGACCAGCTGAAAGCCAATTATGAGACCATTAGATATTGCAGCAGAATTAGGCCATTCGGTCCATCATGTCTGCTCCACCATTCGATCATGGCTGATATGTTTCTCAAACCTATTCTCCTGCCTTCTCCCCTTGCTTCCCTTACTAATCAGGAACCTATCTCTGTCTTAAATACACTCAATTACTTGGCCTCCACAGTCTTTCTGTGGCAATAAGTTCCACAGATTCACTATCTTCTTGCTGAAGAAATTCCTCCTCATCTCAGTTTACTCTGAGGCTGTGCCCTCGAGGCATACTAGTGGAAACATCATTCCCATATCCACTTTATCCAGGTCTCTCAGTATTCTGTAGGTTTCAATCAGATCTCCCCTCATCCTTCTAAACTCCATTAAGTACAGACCCAGAGTCCTCAACCATCCTCATATGACTAGCCCTTCATCCCTGGGATCATTCTTGTAAACCTCCTTTGGAGCACCCCCCCGGACATGCCCAAGACCAGCAGATCCTTCCTTAAACATGGGGTCCAAAACTGCTCACTATATTCCAAATGCAGCCTGATCACAGCCTTGTATGGCCTCAGCAGTACATCACTGCTCTTGTAGGCTAACCCTCCTGAAATGAATGCCAACATTGCATTTGCTTTCTTAACTGCCAACATGTTAACCTTAAGAGAATCCTGAACTAGACCTAGAAGTCCCTTTCTGCTTCACATTTCTAAAGCCTTTCTCCATTTAGAAAATAGCCTATGTCTCTATTCTTCGTATCAAAGTGCATAACCTCACAGCTTCCCACATTGTATTCCATCTGCCACTTCTTTGCCTACTCTCTTAGCCTGTCCAAGTTCCTCTGCAGCCTCCTCACTTCCTCAACACCTGACCCTCCACCTATCTTTGTGTCATCTGCAAACTTAGCAGCAATGCCTTCAGTTCCTTCGTCCAGATTGTTAAAGTGTGACGTAAACAATGTGGTGCCAACACTGACCTCTGCGCAACTCCAGTAGTCAGTGCCTGCTATCCTTCCTCAGAATATATGGGAAAAAGTTGGTTTTTATGCAGAAGATAGGGTGTGGGGGCATGGGGTAAGGAGTAAATGATAGGTGGTGATAGAGCCCAAAGAGAGAGAAGAGCATTGGACAAAGGAGTGGATAACAATCTGGTTGGGAGGATGAATAGTTATTAATGGGGACTATTAGTGGCTAACAATGGGTTGTGTGTAATAGCAGACTCTGTGATAATGAGGCCTGATGTGTGGGAGTAGCTGTAAGGATGTGGGAGAACTCAAGCCCTAATGGTGTTGAACTTGATACTTAGTCCAGAAGGTTGCAGAGTTCCCAAGCAGAAAATGAAGGGTTGTTCTTCCATGCTGCACCGAGCTTCGCTGGAGCACTGCAACAAGCCTGAGACAGAGATGTTGGTCAGGGAACAGGGGTGGTGTGTTGAAGAAGCAGGCAACTGGAAACTCAGGGTCATTTTTGTGGGCAGAACATATCACCCTATCTTCTCCATATAAACCAACATTTTCATAGCTACCATCAGTTCTGAGGAAGGGTCACTGGACCTGAAACGTTAACTCTGATTTCTCTTCACAGATGCTGCCAGACCCGCTGAGCTTTTCCAGCTATTTCTGTTTTTGTTGGGCAATGTTAATCCCTTTCCTCCCTTACTAAATGGGATAACTGGCTCTCAAGTCCAATGGGATAGTAAAGAACTGATAAAAGCTCATTCAGTCAGAGCAATGCTGGGCAGCTGCCAAACATTAAAACAGCTCGCCCCAGTCAGGTCATTTACACACGCCACTGTCTGAGTCACCCCGATGGCAATAAGGGGTGTCCCCCTGGAAGGTGGGACAGCAGACTCACCCGGATGATTCGGTCTGAGCGATGGCGTCTCCGGATTCGGTTCAAACCTTCCACGAAGCGAATGAAGCCATCCAGGAGCTGCCACTCCTCCTGGTCGGAGCGGAGCTTCTCTCCGTAAACATCACAGCGGCTCTCTCCCTCCACGATCCGCTTGGTAGCTGTTACACAGGCCGGCAGCAGCAGGAACCTTGTTCTCCAGAACTTCAGGGATTCTATCAGACTTGGAAACAACAAATCGAAAACGGGAAGATTTACACATCGCTATCAGGGTATCACCTACTTCGAGCACAACTTGCATCGATGTCGCATTTTTATTAAAGCAAACTACCCAGAATGCTTCACAGGAGCGCTGCCAGATAAAATTTGATGCAGAGATGATAGAGAAATGAGTGACCAAAATCTTGGTCAAAGACTTTTTTTTTTTACAAGAGCATCTTAAAGGCAAGTTCCTCTCCAAGCCACTGACTTGGAAATATATCACTGTTCCTTCAGTGTCGCTGGGCCAGAATCCTGGAATTCCCTCCCTCATGGCATTGTGGGTCAACTCACAGCACATGAACTGTAGCAAATCAAGATGGCAGCTCACCACCACCTTCTCAAGGGCAACTGGGGACGGACAATAAATGCTGGTCTAGCCAGCGACACCCACATCCAAGAGGAAAAAAAAATGGAGGACAGCAAGGTGGAAAGATTTAGAGAGGGAGTTCAACAGCTTAAAGTCGAGATGGCATTAGGTACGACCAATGACGGAGCAATTAAATGGAGTGGGTGGGGTGGCAGGAGAATGGTTCAATGAAATGTTCTCTTTAAGATGGTTGGAAGTCCGCAGATAGAGAAAAAAAATGGGAGAGAATGTCAGTTAAGAGGTCATAATTGGTGGATGTGGAGGTCTGGGAGACTTGCATCGATACAGGAGAGTACATAGATAGGGAGGGGAGAGGCCACAGAGATTTGGATGAACTCCAAACAACAGAGACTGCCAGGTGGAATGTCAGCCGAGAGATCAATGGAATAGACAAGGCTAGAGGCAAGTGGTATATCACAGATCAAGGGCACAAGCAAAAATCTCCTTGTTATTGAGATTTCTAATCTTGGCCTGGTCTCCAGTTGACTCCTACTTACACACAGGGACTCTCACACAGCATGTAGCTCTGAAAAGTTTCCCACTAAGTCTGCAGTTGGCATCCACAACATTCTCCAGTGTCCTTCTCTCAGTGGGAGTCTGGCACCTCGCTGCATCCTTTTATCCGTGCGGGAGGTTCAATGCTTCAGAGCAGGACAACTTTCACCCATCATCGGTGGGTCTGACAGAGCAACCGGAACCCTTGAGGGAGCTCAGAGACAGGAAGTTGGCCAGGAGTGGGACGAGGGGGGAGGGATGTACCTGAAATCCTCGGAGCCCGATGAGCAGATGTACTGATCCAGGTAATTCCACTTGTACTCTTCCAGCCGCTCGTGTGAGAACTCCACCCAGCACGACACAAACTCAGTATTGGAATGTGGTGGGCACAGGCTGTAGGTATACTGGATCTGAGCCGACTCGTATGGGTACCTAAAACCAGACAAAAAAATATAGCCGTCCTCAGTCAATCACAGCCCCTGTGCGATGCCTTCACCCTTGTCAGTTTCTGCAATCTCTTCTTTCCTGTCTCCCCCCACCCTCCACCCCACCTGCAGCATTCCCGGAATGAGGGGATCTCCAGGACAGCCTGCTTTTCAAAACCACTGGCCAAATCTTCCCATCAGCAGAGACTGAATGTACAACTCCAGGTGTCGGGACCCTGAAGCACAGACCCACTTGGGAATTGTCCAGGAAGGTTCAACTTCCGCCGGGCAATTTCCCAGCTCCCTGGAACGCTCCATGAAAATCGCTGGCTCGGAGCTAGAGACAGATGGCTTGGAGGTATGTATCTGGGTCCTTACCCAGGAAACTCTGTACAGTTGTGGGGGCCACATAAAAGGTAGCATGTGAATGTACTGGAGAAAGCACAGAGTGAATGGTTTCAGGAATGAGAAACTTCTGTGATGAGGATAGATTGAAGAAGATAGGACTGTTCCCTTTAGAAAGGAGACTGAGAGGAGAGCTGATGGAGCTTCTCCAAAATCATGAGGGGACCGGATAGAGGGAGAAACGGTTTGTGTTCATAAATAAAAACAATCAACAAGGCATAGATTTAAAGTGACATGCAAAAGAAGCAAATGGTGATGAAAGAAAATCTTTTTTTACACCACAAATAGTTAGGGTCTGGAATGCACTGGAGGAAATGTGTTCAATTGATGCAGTCAAAAGGGGCACTGGATGGTTATTTGGATAGAAGTGGTGTGCAAGGGTATGGGGAGAAAGCAGGAGATAGGTGTTAGGCAACAGAACCACTATAGGCATGATGAGCCAAACGGCCTCCTTCTGTGCTGTAACAAATCTTTGAAATGTTGGTCAGGTTAAAACTGAGGCTAACATTTGGGGAACTGCTCAACTCAACAGACACCCCTCTGTCACTCCCTCACAGCCCTCCCCTGCCAACCTCACTCTGAACCCAGCTAACCCTACCAACCATCTGACCACCCTCTGTGTCCCTCACCTGCAAAAACCCCCCCCGCCCCCAACTGTCTGAATACCCAGCCAACCTCACTACACCACCCACCGACTCCCCACTTGATGCTGGGTGAATGAGTGCGGAAGGGCCCTGAGTTGGCATGGAGGGTAATGAGGGGGGTTTGTTGGGTTGGTTCAGGAAACATGAAAGTGGCACAGGGAATGGGTAGGGGCAGGGATGGGGTGTGATGTGGGAGGGCTAGACCATCCAAAAGAGAATGGGAGAACTGGCAACGGTATCTCAAAGAGCTGAGCAGGGCTTTTACCCAGCCTGCCCCGACACTCGACAGGGCCTGTGGTCACCTTCAAACTCACCACTGGGGGGCAGTCAGCCTGATGCCAAGTTGTGAATTGTGACGTAACATGCCTTTAAGAGAGATCTGCTGTATCCTGGTTCTCTTGAAGAGAGGTGCTGTAAACCTGGTGCAGAGGTGTCTGCTCCATGGAAACTGATTAAATAACTTTGGGTTTTTTTTAAATTAGGCAAAGGAAGCATGAATGGGTGGAGTCAGGCTCACACAAACCCAGGTTTTAGTTTTGCTTTTAGTGTTGAAGTTGGGGTTTTTGGGAGTTGAAGCTGCCAGATACAGCACTCTCTCTGCTGTTGGGAAAAGCTGGAGTTCTCTCTCTACTGCTAGATTCATTCTGTCAGTGTTCCTTCTCCTGGACTGGAAACAGCAAGTAATGGAAATCTCTTTTGCTGAATTTGCCTGTGCCTAGAGTGCGTTTATGGGATGCTGCTATATTGGAACAGTTGATTAGTCATTAAATAATATATTATTTTGTTAAGTATTTTGATAGAGTTAAAGTTATACCAATTCTTTTCTTTTTTGTTTGTATTTTAACTCTGGGTCTTTTTTTTATTCATTTGTGTGATGTGGGTGTTGCTGGTTGTACCAGCATTACTTGCCCATCCCTGATTGCCCTTGAGAAGGCGGTGGTGAGTTGCCGTCTTGAACCGCGGCAGTCCAGCTGCTGAGTTGACCCACAATGCCATTAGGGAGGGAATTCCAGGATTGTGACCCAGTGACAGTGAAGGAATGGCGATATATTTCCAAGTCAGGGTGGTGAGTGGCTTGGAGGGGAACTTGCAGGGGGTGGTGTTCCCATATACATCTAGAAGGACAAGGGCAGCAGGTAAGTGGTTGTGGGTTTGGAAGGTGTGGTATAAGAATAAAGTGTGTTTTTCTTAAAGCCTAGTAGTTTGACCAATCAAATCACATCCAGAACACAGCTCGTTACACTTGCCTTTAAATAAGAGAAAAGTTAGGATCTAGGCTCTCTCCTTGATATGTTTTGAGGGGGTTTGGTCTGGTCCATAACAGCATACCTCCCCAGAATGAACGCAACACTAAAAGAGGCCACTTATAACAAAATAGGCTGCTTGTGACTCCAGAGGCCTGCTTCAGCGGTGAATCTCGGACTTCTCATTTTGAAACCGTGTCCCCTTGTTCCAGATTCCCCCATGGGGTTCATCCTCTCAGCATGCACTCAATCAAGACAGCTCAATAAGATCACCTCTCATTCTTCTAAACTTCAACTAGTCTTGGCGCAATTTGTTCAACATCTCCTCACGAGACAACCCCTTTGTCCAAGGGATCAGCTGAGTGAACCTACTCTGAACTGTTTCCAATGTAAGTACATCCCTGCACAAGTAAGGAGACCACACTATCGTCTCACCTATGGCCTGCACAGCTGGAGCAAGTCTTCTCAATGTTAATAATCCATCCTCTTTTGTAATAAAGGCTAACATCCTATTTGTCTTTCTAACTACTTGCTATCCCTGCACGTTGACTTTATGTGATTCTTGTTCAAGGCACCCAGATCCCTCTGTACCACAGTGCTCTGCAGTCTCTCACCATTTACATTGTATTCTATTAATCTTCCTGTGTAAGCACACAGCCTCATATTTTCTCACATTATACTCCACCATTTCCCCACTCACTTAACCCATCTCTGACCCCTTGAAACTTGCTTTTCTACCTATCTTTGCAAACTGGCTTCAAAACACTCAGTCCCTTCATCCAGGCCATTGGTAAACATTGTAAATAGTCAAGCCACTAACAGTGAATCACAGAACTGTTATGGTGTAGAAAGAGGCCATTCGGCCCATTGTGCTTGTAGCATTCTACTGGTTACAGATTGCCAACCTGAAAATGACCATTTATCTGTTTCCTGTCAATTAGACAGTCCTCTATCCATGCTAATATCTCATCATCAATTTCACCAGCAGCGTAGCTAAACCACAAGGGAAGGAAAAGTACAGGAGACCACGTCATGAAAGGGGGTAGGTAGTGTACACTTCAGTGACTGCAAAGTGCTTTGGGATATCCTGAAAAGGTGCTACTTAAATGCAATTTGTCTCGCTCTTTTCTTCTTAGATACACAAATATGGTACAGTCTTGCCATGTAGGGCAGCAGCCCTTGTGAGAACTAGGGGAATGCTCTACTCAGACATGCTTCGGCCTGCTAAGGGATTAATATCCACTTTACAGACTAGGATAAAAGTATCTGGTGCTGACATGAGCACACTGTAACCCTGAGCTGCCCACTTTAAAATTTCCAGTCCTGCTCTTATTTTCCAATCTGAGTTTGTGCTCGCCTTTTACTTTGCAGAAGACATAAAAAAATGGGGTAAAAAGCCTACCCCCATCTTGGGTGAAGTTACCCAACAACGTAAATGACAGGGCTGGACCTGTTGCCTCGCACTTACTTTGGGAGGTAGCGGGTGACAGTTATGATCTTGTCCTTTAAGCAGACTTTATGAAAGGTGCGGCCCATGCTCAGCCAATAGGCAGTCTCCTCCTCCTCCAACTTGTTCCTGGATACCAGGCCTGCAGACATGAGGATTACATGGGTCATTGAACAGGCATTTCACACCTAAAGCAAACACAGCAAGTGCAGGAGGAACTCAGCAGGTCTGGCAGCATTTGAGGAGAGAGAAATGGAACTAAAGTTTGTCATATCGAATGCAAAACACTGTTTCTCTCACCACAAACCAGACCTGTCTTGTTGGTACAGTTTTTGTTTCAGATTTCCAGCATCTGCAGTATTCAAAATTTTATTTCATCTGGAAGGATTCCTTTGATTAAGTGCAGTGTGTCTTAATTTGTGGAGAAATCCCACTATCTTTCTGGCTGGGCCCAGGGGATCTACGCAATGTGATCTACCACAGAGACTGGTCATAGTCCAGTGACTGATGGTGGCCATGAGATTGTGGAGACTTGGTTTACTGTCAGTGTACATGCTGACTTTCAACTTGTAGCTCGGCATTACACTTACCCCCCCTGCCACTGGGACTTGGAAATCAGTGGATTAAACACTTGCCTTTTACCCCACAACACTCCCCAGTGATGACTGAATCCCCACAGTGTGGAAGCAGGCCATTCGACCCATTGAGTCCTCACTGACCTTTTGAAGAGCATCCCAGCAACCCTATCCCTGTAACCCTGCATTTCCCAGGTCAATCCACCCTAACCTGCACATCTTTGGACTGTGGGAGGAAACCAGAGCAACTGGAGAAAACCCACGCAGACAGTCGCCCGAGGAATTGAACTCGGGTCCCTGGTGCTGTGAGGCAGCAGTGCTAACCACTGAGCCACCGTGCCACCCCAATGATGGTCTTGGAAGAGGAGTCAGTCTTGTAGCTCCCCCTGATCCTGTTCCACTGTTCATTGAGATTACAACTGAACAGTGAGGTCTCTAACACTGTCACCTTTCCCCCATGTCATCATTCAGGATCATTTCCACCCACCATCTTTAAGGGTCTGAGTTGGATTGGGTTTCCATTTCCACTGGGTGCAAGCATCCAGGACTTGGCTTTTCAAAGCGTGCTGGGCAACTTGGCACCTCTGGGGATGGCAGCGCTGGAACCAGGAGAAGCTACATGAATGTAGCAAGGGCAGCTGACAGAGTCTGAGTTATAAGCTGCTGCTTTGGCCCTGTCCCTGACCAGGAGCACTCTGTACAGCCATAGTGAGAAAGATTCTATGTGCTTTCACCAAATGGAGTCAGGGGAAGGGGGAAAAAAATCCATTACCGCAGCAACAACAGGCAGCCATGGGCACAAGTGCTCGGTGCAGAGTGCCAGGAGTGGTTTAAAATACCCACCCATACCCCCACAGAGGGTGGGTGTGAAACCCTGGAGTGGCACTCGAGGTGGGGGGAGGAGATGGTACCAAACCTGCGAGGGATGCCCCCAACCTGCAGCAGTGATGCAGAGGATGGGTTAATGAAGTGATGGACATGGGTCGTCCCAAACATAACAGCAGGACTTTCATGCCCCTGCCTTAAAATGGAGGGAGGTTCACAGGAATACCCGCTATAGGGGCTCATGATGGTGATACCACCAACAGTTACAAAAATGTTGAGGTTCCTGAAACCGTTCCTACTTCTTTGTGCTGAATTCCCTCCTGTGAAAACGGGGTCCGGGTCCCAACTCATCTCCTGCAGTCCAGCCCAACAATTATCCTTTATGATTAAGCTCAGGCACCGAAGGCTATTGAGCAGTTGAGCACATCACAGTCGGTCTAGCGCACTCTCACAGGTACACACAGGAGAGAAACTCGAATGGCCACCCAGGGGGAACTGAAGGCTCCACTGACACCACACAGAAACCTACCAAATGTGAGGCTCCTTACCTCGTGTGTAGAGGGGGCTACTGCTGAGCGGTGCAGAGGCTGCAGTACTCGATAGCTTGTTCTTGCTCTGGACGATGATCTGATAGCCCTGCATGAGGCGCTGGCAAATAAACTCCTCAAATACCTGCTGGGCTGTCATGACAGGTCCATCCTCCTCTCTCCTGTAAACCAGCAGGATACACAGGTCAGAAAAATGATTCCCCTTTGCTCTCTCCTTCAGGCCAACAGTGAGAAATACTTCATTCCCTTCATGGGGTAGCAAGTGTCCAGCTCCAGCCTGTATATCATCATGGAAACATACTTCCCACAACAGAATCCAGGCCCAAACCTGCCCAGTCTGTTCAATGGAGTGTTTAGGTTATCAGCCTATCCCTGTTCTAAGGGAAAACTGAATTCTCGCTGTTGCAATATTACAGAGGATGAGCTTCCGTCCCATTTATATTTCAGCAACCCCTCCTGTTTTGTACTCTGTAAATTTGGCACAACTTCCTGCATCACTGCATGGCAACAGCACTGAATAGTGTGTTTAACCAGACGGCGTATGGTTCCCTCCTCAAATCAGACAGACCCTCCCCCCGACACCCTCTAAAAACCAGTCAGACCCCACTCCCAACCCGAACCAGCCCTGTTACCGCCTGTTAAGCCAGGCTTGCGTTTATATAGCCACCTTCCACATTGTGAGGAGATCCTGAGAGGTACCTCCAACACTGCTGCACTCTCTCAGCACTGCACTGCTGTTACCAGGCTGCACCTCTGATCAGCTTGACCCTAAATCGGGACCTTCAGGGCTGGAAACTACCCAGGGGGCCACAGCGAAGGTGGTGTACATAACCCCGGCTGAGCTACTAGCTGGGCATCGCAAAGGCTGACACAGCATCCAACCCACTTCCCAGACGGTAGTCTCTGTGGTCACTGTATTGTTGTAAGAGGGTCTAGGCAGGCAGGAGAGAGACCCCGTTACTGCACAAAGTGATCTTTCTTTCTACTAGTCTGATGATAGCTGTCAATGCATGTTGTTTCAGACAAGATACAGTGACCAGTTTCTCCTGTGGCTGTTCTTTGAGGTGGTCAGTCAGTCAGTGGTAGGGTACAGTCACACCCAGCTTGAGAATTTCACTTTGTTCCTTCCAGTGCCCCTGCACTGAGGATTAATCACATTCACTTCCATCTCCTGCAAAGTTTTCACTTTGAGATGTTCTACCCTTTTCCAATCCAGGCAGCCGAGAACCAACACTAGCCAGTGGGTGCAGATCGAAGCTCCCTTGATGCTGTCTGAACCATGTATGGACCTCCGAGGGCAGTCCTGCTCCCCTCTGCCCAATGGTAGAACGTCCCAAAGCAGCTCGTGAGCTCTCAGCAACACGGAGTATGATCGTGCAGGTTTCAGAGCCCAGTCCGCACCCAAACTGGTTTGGGACTATCCCATCGTATTTTGTCAAAGTCAACTCACAGGCTTCCATCTGATTACTCAGAACTGATCACTGCCTCCAGAATCCCTGCTGCTGCTTTGTTTTCACTCTCACAGGCTGAATGAATGTTGGAAGGGTTTGCCTTCTTTTCATGCTGCCCTCTACCCCTCCCACCCACTGAATCACCCGCCACCGAATCAGCCCCAAATCCGCCCCCCACCATGGGATCACCCACCAATTCTGAAGAGGACCTCCTCCGAAATGTTGGCTTCTCTTTTGCTCCCATGATGCTCGCTTACCTTGATCCAGTGTGTGACCTCAGTGAGCTGTTCAAATCTGTAAATCCACATCATTGCAAAGACTGTGTTGGCTTCGGAATGTGTAATGACACCCACCTCCTCCCCGTGACTGCATCCTTAGATGAAATACTCATCACCGCTTGTGATCCAAGACCCGATACCCCTGGAACCAGCTGCCAAGGCTACGTATGACTGACGCCAATGTGGTCAAACTCCTGTACATACTGCTCCCTCATCACCTTTACCCCTGCCTTTAACTGACACCCTGCCTTCCAAAACATTTCACATGCTTTTCCTGGGTCATCCCATGCCCCTTAGAATCATAGAATCCCTACAGTGTGGATGCAGGCCACTTGGCCCATCGGGTCTACACCAACCCTCTGAAGAGAATCCCTACCCAGACCCTCTACACTATTCCTGTAACTCTGCTTTCCCATGGCTAACCCACCTAGCCTGCACATCTTTGGACTGTGGGAGGAAACCCATGCAGACACGGAGAATGCACAAACTCCACACATACAGCCACGCGAGGGTGGAACTGAACCTGGGTCCCTGGCACCGTGAGGCAGCAGCGCTAACCACTGAGCCGCTGTGCCACCCTTGGCTTTGGGTGTTCACCCTTAGCAATCTTCACTGGGAAAACTTTGCGCCAATTTTGTCCCACATTCCAGTAAACCCCTTCCCAATCCTCTCGTCTCCATACCTGTCTCTCGTTTTGAAAAGCCTCTTCAAAACCTGTCCAACAGTGTGCCTTTGCCCAGCTCTGTATCACTGCTGTCGATTGGGAGGCTCATTAGGACTTGCAGTGAGGTTCAAGACGATAACGTTCCAGCGACGGCAGAAACAAACAGACCAGTCAGTGACGGGAGGGGGTAGGCGCTATCCAAGGATAGGAGTGTGGAACTTAGGCTGACAGCCTGGTGCTGTGCTGAGACTGCTCGGGGGGAGGTGGTGAGGTGTTTACTCTGATTTACTGAACCCAAATGATCCCACAGTATTATTCCAAAACAAAAAGGGGCATTCTTCCTGGTAGCCTACCTAACAGTTATCCCTCAACTATCGTCCTTAAAGCGGGTTTATCTGATTGATTGTGCGGGCTTGCTGTGTGCAAATTTCCTTCACGAAGTATTTCATTGTGAAACATTTTTGACGTCGTGTGATTGTAGTGGGTACTAAGATAAAAAGCTCATTTTTTGAAGCTCTTGTGTCACAGTGGCAGTGTCCCTACCTCTAGTCCAGGAGGCCTGGGCTCACCTGCTCCAGAGGGGTGTGATAACATACCTGAGGAAGCAGGTTAAAATATCTAAAGGAAGGCTGTCTGCCCATCTACTGGGAAGTAGCTTGGAGCCCAGATTTTAGTTGAATCAACCACCTTACTTGCATTTTTAGTTTATGTTCATTGCCTGTGACATCTCTGGTTGAGTCAGCATTTATTGCCCCTCCCTAGTTGCCGTTGAGAAGGTGGTACTGAGCTGCCACCTTGAACCGCTGCAGGCCACCTGATGTAGGTAGGGAATTCCAGGATTTTGACCCAGCAACAGTGAAGGAATGATGACATATTTCCAAGTCTGGACGATAAGTGGCTTGGAGGGGAACTTGGAGATGGTGTTGTTTCCATGTATTTGCTGCCCTTGTCCTTCTAGTTGGAAGTACTCGAGGGTTTGGAAGGTGCTGTCTGAGGATATTTGGTGAATTTCTGCAGTGCATCTTGTAGACAGTACACACTGCTACACACTGGTGGAGGGAGTGGATCCTTGTGGATGTGGTGCCAATCAAGCAGCTGCTTTGTCCTGGATGGCGTCAAGCTTCTTGAGTGTTGTTGGGGCTGCACTCATCCAGGCAAGTGGGGAACACCCCTCCATCACACTCCTTACTTGTGCCTTGTAGATGGTGGTCAGGCTTTGGGGAGTCAGGAGATGAGTCACTCACTGCAGGATTCCTAACCTCTGACCTGCTCCTGGCTATTCCAGTTCAGCTTCCTCTAGGATTCGGAGGGGTCAGCAATGGTAATTCCATTGAATGTCAAGAGGTGATGGTTGGATTTGCTCATCAGAGATGGTCAGTACCTGTCATTTGTATGGCCTGCTGCCCTTCGACCTGATGTACGATCCATGCCACACCTGCTTCCATATCATTAATTGGTAACCAGGTAACAAAGGTCACGAGTGAGAAATCTGACAAATAAATCTGACAACACAGTTCAGCAACAGTGACTCACTGAGAATGTAGGTGGGGGTCTCCAACAGCCTTTAGCAAAACTGAGGACGCAGGCTCAATGCGCCAAATAACCTCCCCTTGTGCTGTAACAATTCTGTGAAGAGTGGCTCGGTAGCACCATCACTTACTGAACTGGCCAAGCCTTCAAAGACAGAGTTGCCAGAAAATATCTGGACTTGTGGCAGGGGCTGGGGGATCCAGTGTGGGGAACAAAACATAGTCAACGTCATCCTCACCCATCTACCTGCCACAGATCCATCGGACCATGACAGGATTGTTAGGAGTGACTACTGTACAGTCCCCATGAAGAAATTCCATCTTCACATTGAAGATACCACTCCCCACCCCACAACTCCATTATCATGTTGTGGGTCACTTGGTACTGTGTGTTACATAGGCTGGAAGCCAGACTGATCCAGCTGGGCATCGAGCCCCATTCAATGAACAGTGTAGGAGGGCATGCCAGGAGCAGCATCGGGCACAGCTAAAAACGAGAGTCAATCACGACAACACAGGACTACTCACCCACAATGGAAACAGCATGTGGAGACAGGGCGAATCAATTGTAAAACAAACAGATCAGAGCAACAATGTGCAATGCCAGCGCACCAACTTCTCAATGACGGTGAACAGTTAGAAAGAAAAAAGAAATGGGACGGAGTGGTTTTACGAACATCTCCAAATCCAATGGTACTGGGGACAAGGCATTTACAGCCATCTTCCACAAGTACCAAATGGATGCTCCATCTCGGCCTTCTTCTCAGGACCCCCAGCATCACCTTTACCAGCCTTCAGCTAATTCAATTCCATCCATGTGATATCAAGAAACGGTTGGAGGCACTGGATGCTGTAAAGGGTTTGGGCCCGGCAATAGTACAGAAAACTTGTGTCCCAGAACTTGCTGCTCCCCTAGCCAAGCTCTTCCAGTACAGTTATAACACTAGCATTTACCTGACAATGGGGAAAATTGCCCAGGTGTGTCGTGCACACAAAAAACAGGACAAATCCAACCTGGCCAATTACCGCCCCATCAGTCTACTCTCAGTCATCAGTAAAGTGATGGAAGGTGTCATCAACAGTGCTATCAAGCAGCACCTGCTCAGCAATGCCCAGTCTGGGTTCTGCCAGGGTCACTCAGCTCCTGCCCTCACAGGTAGACAGGGTGGTTAAGGCGGCATTTGGCACAATTGTCTTCATTGCTCAGACCATTGAGTACTGGAGTTGGGGCATCATGTT